TTCCTATGATTTGCAGTTGATTTCAATTAACTTTAGCATCCGTTTAATCCGTACCTCCGAGCCAATGATGTGTGACGAATTGCTGAATAGAATATTTGGTCCATTACACCAAAACTAACGTCATGTTCGCACTGAGCCCGCTTGCCCACGACGAATCTTCAATCAATCATCGCTATCAGTTCCATTCAAAGCTTATTTATGTACAAAGAGGGACGTTTACATAAAGGGATACAATATTTACATAAAACGATGCCAATATTAATATTTGAATACCTATTTTAGGTTTATCAATTTTATCTCCATCAATAAATACTGCTATTGAGGGTTCATTTTATTTCAATTGAAATTTTAAATCTATATTGTTTTTGACATATTTAAATTGTTAATTGATGAAATGGTATTCATAATAATTTACCTATAATGTGTTTGCTTTATGAGTGCAACCTGTAAACTTAATTTCAGTCTGGTATGAAAATACTTCAGTCTTTGAGATGAGAAAAAATACTTTTCCGCGTGTTATATTACGTTGAATTTTATATTTGCACTTTATTTTTGTATCTACAAAATTATTATATCTACAGCAAACAATTAAATAATTGAATTTATAATATAATTTAAATACCCATACCGTTACTCATACAATTTGCAGTAAACTAAACAATTATGTCCAACTAATTTAATGAACTTCGTTATTTTTGGAAGATTTATTTTAGATAAGCGTAACCAAATAACAATTTTAAAGACTGGATGGTCTTTTTTTTTTTTTTTTTGTGCGCACTGGGAAAAAATGCTTTACGCATCCCCTCTCCGTTGAAGACGGAGAGGGGTATGTGGGACTCCCCGGGAAAAGGATTCCCGGTATACCCACTAAAATAACCCAGTGGCGCTCCGACCTCGCCTGACTGGCAGGGGGCTGGGAATCCTGTTTGCGTCCAGCCCCCTGCTGGCGATTGCCCACAAGACTGGATGGTCTGGGTAACATGATCCGCTACCGGTTTGAAATACCATGTTCCATTATATTCTAGAATCCAAGATAGCCTGATAACGTTATTATCGGTAGCGCAATAAATCACCTCACTGTCACTTTGGCGGGGAATTCAGATTTTCGATCATCTAAATCTCAATTTGTGTCTTCTAAAAGATCATATTTGTTCGGTATTAAACTTCGATAAAAATTTAAAATTTTATAGTCATGTACTGAAAATAATAAAAAAAAAAAAAAAAAAAAAACTAAATAATAAAAAAAAAAAAAAAAAAACATTATAAGATAGCGATGATAATTATAAGACAATGAAGTAGAATGATCACATTATATAATTTAAGGCAAACAAAAGACGACGTATTTAGAAGCCGGAATATTGGTATATGCTGATAAAATGTTTTTTATAATTTCATTGTCGCAGAAGAGAATAACAGAACGCAACGTCACGATACGCACGTCTACACAATCAAAAGGAGAATAAAGTCAGAGCACACGTTTTATGTATTGTATTAGGCAGGCGACACACGTACGACATATTAACGTACACCACGCAACGTGACTGCTCCGAACTGGACCGTTTCAATAATCGCTTGTTCTTTTAGTTTTGGAATTGTTAAGGTGGGATGTAGGATTATATTAGTTTTTATTAATTGTAATTTGTTGAGATCGTTCATATAGATGAAACATATTATTCTGTTATTAGGGTACATGTTTAATTATAAAATGACAAAAAATAGGTAATGTTTAATTATTATATTTGAAAAAAGTTGAGATTTATAAAATAATTCTGGTTTTTAAAATCAGTAATGAATCCTAAATTCTCCAGCCCGCAGAGTGTGACTTCTGGAACACGTGCCAGTAGTTTTGCTACTTAGACTTTTACATCTACAAAACACTATAAATAGTTAATTAATCAAAGACTTCCTGATGTACAATTTCAAATAATCATCCGCATTATATTTAGCAAGGGTATTTTTATGTACAATTTCACAAAGTGCTATATAAACAAAAAAAATCATCGTATAGTTTGCAAATTTGTATTTTAGTAAGGAAATTTAATACTGACTAAACAAAGAAAATCAGAAATGACTTGCTATTAATTATTTGAAATATAAACATCTTTATTCATAATATTTGAAGGTGTGGAAATAATTATATTACATTACAGCTCTGCTTGATGATAATTTTATCACATTTCTGTTGTAATTCATAATATTGTATAATATTATTAAAGCACTTTTTATAATACTTTTTTTTGTGGTGCCTTTGTCAGATATAGTTAATGAATGTGTCTGTTGCGTCTTGTGGGGCCGGAAGCGGATGCGGGGTACTTTTATCGTCTATGTTGTTTTAGGCGTGGCGTCAAATGACAAGCGACGAATTAACGCTCACTTACTGATATTTTTGACAAATCATCTAAGTGTTCCCAGTAATTTTTACAAAGCATGCTATGGTCGACACAATTACCCCAATGTTGACACATGAAACATTATTTATATATTATAAGATAATGTTAAAGATTTTGGAGTTAAAGATTTTGGTGAAATATTCAGGTATAAAATTAAATGCGAACATCATTTTAAGCATAGACTCAAAATTTGGCAGAATGGAGACAAAATTTAAGCATTAATTTGTTTCATCCTGACTGTTAATAAAATATTTCTGGAAGTAACTTATTTTATTATGGAAAAATTAAAATTTTATCGATCTATTTATCCTTTTATTGAAATTATTAGGTTCTATGAGCCCAGGTTTGACGCATCAAAGCAGCGCTTTTTACCTTTACTCCAAACGTCCTAATTAAGTTGTACAATTGGGATTTTGAAAAAAAAAAGTATTGATTTTTTTTTATGTATTTTAAAACTTTATTATTAATTATATTGATTTTTAATGCAAAAAACTTGAAAAAAATATTTTTTTATCAATTATATACAATTAAAAATTGATAAAATTCAAAAAAAATCACGTGACTGTAAACGCGCCATGATTGGTCGTCATACTTGTGACGTCATAATGTTAAAGCAATTTCATAATAGTACAGTGTTTATGGCTATTATCTTTGACTTGATAAAAATATCTCAAATTTATTAGTGAAAAACGATTTGAAAAGTTTATTTCGACTAACTATTTGTGATAAAGGATTTATAAAAGCAAAATCGGATAATATTCCTAATGTTGATATATATAAGATAACTAATTTTTTTTAAAATGACGTTCGGTTTAATTCTGCTGAAGTTCGAGGTGCTAAGGCATCAAGGTAAGTCTGTTAAAAATACTATTCTAAATGAAAATAAGTATTTATTCTCTATTAAATATAATTAATAATTATTTCATTAATTGTAGAGCATCACGTGAGAGTTACGGCGATAAAGCTATAGGTTATGGTCAACTTAATCGTAAGAATGGTATTTGTGTTTTAAAAGGACGTGTATGTCCAGAACACCGAGTTCGGAGTGAAGCTTACTTAGTTACTCTAACTATTATTCAATTTATACACTTAGATAAATAAGAATTAATAACAATATTAATATGAATACTTACATAGAAATGATCTTCACAACAAAAAAAAAATTATTTTGTTTTTGAATAATCTCGGTGCACTGCTTGAAACCATTTCTTTCGACGTTTTTCGTCATGTGGAACATTTAAAAACATTTTTTCAGGAGTTGTTTTTGTAGTATTTGTAAATAATTGTACAAAACAAGAGCGATAACTTTTGAGTTTTGACATTTTTGATTATTTAACAATGCCAACAGAATTTACTAGATAAAAACTCAAAACACTGTACTAATTATTATATCTCTGTATGCTACAATGAGCAAAAACTAACATTGTGACGTCACACGCGCTCGGGTTTATTCGGGAGCTGTCGGCGGATCTTCGGTACTGAATTTAAAATTTAATTTTTATTTTGAAATAACTTTTTAATTATTGCAAAAAAAAAATAAAAAAAATAGTTTTGTTGTAAAACTTATATATGATCTTTCCATTCATCACAAAAAAAATAATAATTCAAAAACCCAATTCTTTTATTAACGCTTGGTGATTCTGATCGAAGGTGACTGTATTTGTAATCCCTCTACATATTATGGCTAAATGAATGTTTTAGACCTTCCCTCAACCTCAACCTCACAGTAATAAATAGGACGTTAAATAACTTACCCGCTTCTTCTACAGCTCATGTTGAATAGAATGTATGCATGACAATTTTAAATATTGCTTAGCAGCGGCCTTGACCCAAAACTCAAACCAAAGCCAAGGTTGTAAATGAAGCAATTCAAACTCGCGTGATGTCACTGGGGAAATCAGGTTCCTTCAGTCATGGAAGCCTTCGACTGATATTTATGGTAGCGTGTCAGATCCCGATCGACTCTGGAGACTAAAGGGTTAGTGCAACTTAAGATGTTAGGTTTCATAAATTTTTGGTAATTTGAATTTAAAAAACCATTAAAAAAAACCTTTGCTGCATTTCTTTCATTTCAAAACTCTTTAACAAAGTAACACGTAACAGTAATGCATTAAATAAAAAATCCTTAAATTCCACTTACGGGTAAATATTAATTTGTTTTCTTTTTTTCATTTAAATATAACAAAATGTTCTAAAAAAAACATTATAATTGTATGTATTCTATCGACAAAAAATAGTAAGTAATCCTTTAATGACAACGCAATCTAACCAAAATAAACATTTTTGTCAGATGTACAAATAGATCTGGTCTCGTTAAATATTTATGACAAAACCAAGAAAGCCTTTCCTACAACAACGGCTATATTGATTTTGTTACTTATGGACCCATTGCATAATGCGATCCACTGAATAATGTGTAGAGGAGATTCATGAAAACTCGATTGTATTTTCGTAAATTTTTGTGAATTCTAAGTGACATTGTCTGACTGTGTCATTGTTTATAAAAGAAGTTTTTTTTGACCTACCGTACAAAACCGTGAAATTTAAAGTAAATTATTGAAAAGTAAACTATTTTTTTTTACGTTGGAAAAGTTTTTGGGATCCTACATCTTAATCCAGGTGAATACACAGGTTTTTAAGTGGAATTCTCACCCAACGGTTACACTCATTGACACAATGAAACACATTGGGATCGTTCTTCCATGGAACCCTACTATTCCAATCATGGTCATAAGATACGTACTCTTGTAGGGATTCAGGTGGTTTTGTTTCCGTAGAAAAGTTTACTCTACCATACCACACAGGCTTAAGACTGGGCTCGTTGTCGAACATAGTGCTGTCTCCCCTTCCTAACATTATCTGGCAAAACAAATCACCTGAGGATTATTTCTTCTTGTTCTGCGAATCGGGCGAATTTATAAATATGACTCTTTCTCAAAAGGAGGTTATGGCGTTCGAATATTCATCGTTTCCGAATATAGTGTTGACATTTTCTGCATATCAAGGGTGTCGTCGGGGAAGCACAACATCCTAATCCTTATGAGTAGGGGACGCCTGAGGAGCCAATAGAAGCTGATAGTCTAACAAAAACACAAAAACTAGTCTTAACTCTCCTTAAATACTTTTATTATCCCTTTTGGAGAGTCCAGGGTGTTGATCGTTGAGCGTGTCACTCTAAACCCAAACTGTGCCTCTACAAGGTCCGGAACTAACTAATCAATCAGTGCAATGACCCTTCTAATGACGTTTTCGCTCTGCAAGATGCTCCGCAGCCTGTTCTTGAAGTCTGACAAGAGAGCGGTCATTTTAACAGCGAAAATGGAACCTGCGATCATTACTACTGATCTCCCGAAAGTCCTTAAATGGAATAATTACGTCCAAATTAGTTCAGATACAAAATTGTAACTGAAACAGATATTCAGATCATCAGGACAGACGATGAACAAGTCTAAATGGATTTAAATAGATCTTTTTAAGTTTTATTTTGAGTGCAGTTGAATTTGCAAGTTTTTATAGATTTACTGAATATTTTCCAGCACTATCTAATAGATCTCTCAGGTTATAACCAGATTGAGCTAGCGACCGGTCTTTCAAGTACTCATTATAATGCAGACTGTATAAAGCTTTTATTTCAAAAACTGTAAAGTTAATTTCTTTAAAACGCAAAGACACTCAAGGACCAGGAGCCCAGGAGTGTTCTTGTTTCTTTTTCTTTCCTTCCTCGAAAGTCGTTAAGGTGGATGTTTAAGACGGGGCTACTGTTAACTTTGTGTTATCTACTTAGAATTTAATTCGCGTTGTGATAGCTCTTGGTTTCAAATAAGATTTATAAATATCTTCACTGTGAATAGTTTTGAATTATTTGAGAACCCATTCCTATTGTATAAATGAAATCCTTCCCTTTGTTTTGAAATTATCAAAAATAATTACTTATTTGTTTCTTGTATTAAACATAATCATAATAACTTATATATTTTTAGGTATCATTATATTATTCTTGCGAAGATTATTATCGATCTATGTATATTTAATTTAAATTAAAATTAATTAAACATATTATACGAAATGTCTACACCGCTACTCGCAGGAGAATAATATTTTTTCATTAAACAACATATCAGATTAAAGTTCTTTTAACTATATCTAAATTAAGAGACGGAATACTTAATGATTCTACATAACTGAATTTGGTATAATTGATTAAATGTACGAATCTAATAATACGTCAGTGAAATTTAGAAAATCAAATAATTTAAGTAAGTTGAAGAATTTCAATTTCAATGGTGATTAATTAATCTTTAAATAGTAAAAGATCGTAAATCATAAAGTTAAAGTTTATAAATACTCAAGTAAATATTTTTAATATTAACAGTTATATGATGGCAACATTAGCATGATAAAAAGAAACGGAAGTTTATACGTCGACATGTGTTTTCCAAGGAGTTTAAATGTAGGGTATTAAAAAGAAATCCACTGTAAGGAAGTGCCGCGTCTTACTTATGGCCAGTGATGTACCTGCCTTCACGGTATCGATATCACAATTTGATATAATTAGGTTATATAAAGTAAGTAACTTAATATTAAAACTCAAATAGACTTGTTAAAAAAATATATATTATTAAAAAAGGAAAAAGGTTGTTATTTATCTCGTGTAAATTTAAATAAAGTTTACTAGGAACGTCTGTGTAATTTTATGATAAAAAATTATTTTATTCGAAATCTGGTACTGATGGGCATAACTATGTCCCGTATTTAGGTGTGTTTACAATGAAGATATATTTGTAAGAGATCTAGAATCAATTATATATCGATACAATCACGTAACTAGTATTCAGACAAGACGATGAAGAGCTACGGATATAATGTAGTGCTTTCAAACATTGAGGCAAAGTTTGCCTACAGAGCTGCGGACAAATGACAACGGGCCGGAGGCGAGGAACTGCGATATTAGAAGCCTTTAAGATGGGAAAAATAGCAACTTTTACTTGAAGTAGGTAGTCTTGTATGACCTAAGTTAACGACGCAAACCATCAACAGAAGATGTGAAGACACTGGTTGAAGTTATTGAATAATTAATATCTTTGTAAATTCTATTCTTTCGAGTAGCTATATCCTATAACTTTTACAAATTTACCTTTGTAGACCAGTTGGGATAATTAATTTAACACTCAAGAAATCAAAATACGCTATTAATACTTCAACTGAATGGCTATTTGTCGTCGTAAGAAAGTATTTAATACCTTTATTGGAATTTATTCTAACCAATTCTATATTTATTGATATGTTTATAGTTATATTATTTTTATGCCGCTTCCGATTGTCACCTGCACCAATCACGTCAGTAATGTTTCACGCGAGATGCCGTGAGAAAGAATCGCCGACGACATTTGCGAAGAATATTTTAAATCCACCAGTTCTAAGAAACTGAAACGAGATTTATGGAAATAACGGATATACTGAATTAACTATTTAAGATATGTATGTTCATTTATTAAAAAGATATGGAGATATATGTTTTCAGGAAGACATCAAAATTTTTAATTTACTTTCATAGTGACTATTACTTAGGAGTTTAGCTAGTAGGACATCTTAACAACCAGGAAATTATTTCAATATAGTCACTGTACAAACATAAGATATTTCTCTGTATTGGAAGTAGGAAATTTTAAATCTTGAGATAAGAGACGGCAAGGAGGAAGGATTCGTGCCACAGTGTTTTTTTTTTGTAAAACCAGTTCATATACGCTCGATGCCTATAGGAACTTAAAATATTAATTATTATGAAATATGAATATAAGAGTGATTGGATTGTTATTTTTCAAATGATCAGATTGAAGGAAGATCCTTAGATCTTAGACATTTAGTCTAGGAGTCTTTTTCTTCAAAAAGTTCAAAGGGTAACCCACTTGTAGCCACTTCTTGTGATGCATAGCGCCTAATTAATTATTTGTCACTCTTCAGCTTATAGATAAACGTTATGATCGATATATTGACAAAAAAAGTGCAATTAAAAGCTAAATAAAATAATTTTTAAAGCCAAATTTTTGTATATTCCCTTTGTTGGAACTATCCGTAGTAGTTTTATATTTCCAAAATGTCTTTACATTTTAAAACCGACAGGTAATTCACGAGGCTTCAAGAATCGTTTTATGCGTAAAAAGTTGCGTTTAAAAGCCGTCAGCCATCTTTGACGAGTTGATGTAATCGATCCCAAACAATGAAAGAAATAACACGCCACCGAAGCCTTACTTGCTTTGGACGTGAGTAATGGCGTTTTCACAGACAATTTGGGTCGGAAAATGTTTTATTGTACTAAATGAATTTGCTTCTTTTTTTTAATATAATGGATGAACCCCTCTCTAAATATCACAACTAATAAAAATATGAAAAGCTATAAATTAATTAAAAAATCTTTTCCCTTAGTACTAATCCGTAAATTTATAAAAAAATATGCTGTTTGTGTTCCATATAAGACATTGTAAACGTGATGGTAAAATATTTTAAGTGTTTGATATTTTTACGGTTCTAAAAATTTTTTAAAAATGTTACACTTTCACCCGAAAGTTTCGTCGAAGCGAAAGATGTCTTACAATCTTAGTTTTAGTTACCGATCAATGATAAATAATTATCATCTGTATTTTGACACATATTTATCTTTTAATAGTGCTATAAGTGATCAGAAAATAAATACTTTTAGTAAAACATTAATGCTTTATGGATAACCAATCGACATCTTATAGGCATAAGTGTTAACTTTTTTAAGTATAAGTTTTAAATATGTTAAACTTTTTAAATTACCAGATACAAGAACTACATAATTTGGCAATAATAAAACTTATATTGACTAATTGATTCATTGATTCATTGAATTACAAAAATTGTCTTGCATTGTTAAGATAAATACTTTGTCAAAACGAAATCTACACGATATGTAGATAGAATTGTATTTTATACTTTTTTTAAATCAAAATCAATAATAATGTTTCAACAACTTATATGATGGTACGTGGTATTATAATGTAACATTACTTTCCAGCAACATTTATTATAAATAATTATGTAATATATGTATATTATTGAATAATGCTTCGATGATCATAAATTTTACAATTGTACATCGCCAAAACTTGAAAAGTTCAATGGAAAATGAAATTGACATTTTAAATATTTTTTAACAACCTTAATTTTTATGTAAAGGTTTTTTAGCGATAAAAAAACTAGTGTTACAAATAATTATATATTTAAAATATATGATTTTCATTGATAAACTTTCCTAGATTTATAGAGGAATTTAGAAGAGCTTATGTCTCTTTTTTATATAAACATAATATATGTATTAGTTTTTTCAGTTTTAAAGATGTAATCATTGTTTTATTAAAAGAGTTAATTCAAAGTCAAATATATTAAAAAATTACAACTAGTTATAGGATTCTAGCCTAGCTGTCTACAAAATAAAAGTAGAGACACAGGCGTCTGACACCAGCTTACGATTCTACGGCTTCGGCGAGACAGGGCTAATTGTCGCGTATTGTGCTGTGTATATGAATACGTCTCTGTTTTAATATCGCAAATCTACAAGCGGACAGCTGTGTTATTTTTCATCGTAAGGGTTTGACGCCTTTGTATAGATTGTCTAGGGGAGATTATTACTAGTTAATTAATGCTTTTCCTGTCAACTTTGAGACTTTATGTATCTGCGACGAAGAATAAATAGACTCACAAAGTTTGTTACTGAAAATAATTTATATATTTAAGACGTTTTAAACAGGTGCAGTATTATTACAAAATGATATTTAACTGTAAAAATATGAACGTAATAAAAGAAAAAATAAAATATTGATACAAACTCATTCTTG